CAATTAACCTCACACAGAAAAAGATGTTGTAATGTTCCTTCCAGAACTCTTTAAGAGTTAAATCTGTATCTGAGACCACCTGGAAGCACAACCAGGCAGAATTTGGGCCATAATTCAAGATTCTGGTCATAATTTAAAACTAAAATTCCAGTCATAACTCTTTTTTTTTTTCCATAACCCAAGTTTTTGCATGTCAGGCTGGTCCTAACTCCAGGGTCCAGTGTATATAGGGAAAGATTTTGTCTCAGGTGATCTAGAAGTTGTTTCTCATGCATAAAAGTCCTTCTAAATCTAAAGAAATATACTAATTTTAAGCTGCAATTATTTAGTTAAAAAATAAAATTTTGAATAAGCTTAATGCTTTACTTGACTATACATTTTTTCAAGATAAGAGAATAAACTAATTGGTTTTTAAATGCTTAATGTTCAGAAATAGGAAGAGAAAGCAATTTTTTCCACTATTTTGTTTTTATGAAGTTTCTAGCTGATGTTTATATACAATGGAGTAGCACTCTGCCATAAAAAAGGAAAGCTGAGTCAATTGTAGGACAGTGGATGCCCCTGGACACCATATTGTTAAGTGAAATAAATCGGACAGAAGCTTAAATATTGCATGGTTTGTCTTATATGAGAAACCTGAAATATAATGAAAGAGTAAAATAAAAGATGGATAATAGGATATACAGAGATGGATTTTTGTGAAAGGGAAGCAGACTAAAAGATGGAGGGAGGAGAGAGGTGAGGGGAAAGGAATGGAAAAAGAATTAAAATGTGTCATATATATATATATACACACACACACAAACTCCCCACAAGAAATATAATCACTTCTACTGCAAACATGTAGTAATGAAAAATAAGACTTGGAGAAAAAACCTCAATGAATTATTATACAATGAGTTGATTACTTGAAAAATCCCACCAAAATAAACTAAGAGCTATTAATGGTAATAGCATTTTTAACAAGGGTACAAAACAAAAACTAAATATGCAAAAAGCTTTAGTTTCCTATATTCCAAAAATAAGTAAGAGAATAGTGCACATAATTCAATAAAAATAACAATTATTTAGAAATAAAGTTAACAAGCAATATGCAAAACCTACATGGAGACAATTATAGGATTTTACTAAGAGAAGAGAATCAACAAATGAAAGAATGAAAATGTTTTCCTATGAAAGAAGTTAAAATATAAGTGTATCAACTCTACCTAGCTGTAATGTAATCCTTATAAAAATCTTAATGGAACTTTTTGAATTTGAAAACATATTCTAAATTTTATATGGAAGACTGAACATATATAATTACCCATGGTCATTTTTAAAAGAAGAGTTACAAAGAGGGAGTATGTTGCAACTAGTAGAGTCTTAAAATATTGCCTTTATCAAAAAATTAATTATTTCCCTAAGAAAACTGGAAAAACAGGATTTTGTAGCAGAAAGTATAGCTAGATATCAAGAAAAGAATACAAGTTAATTGATAATGATGACTAATCATCGTCTGGTTAGTAGTATGTTCCAATTGTAACACATACCTCAAACTCATAACCAATGTACCAGGTGGTACAGTTTCATGATCTCAGCACCAAAGGATGCAGAGGCTGGAGGACTGCAATTTTGAGGCCACTTGGTGACTTAGTGAGAAACTCTTTCCTGGGCTGGTGATGTAACTTACTGAAAAGCATTTGGATCAATCCACAATACTTAAAATAACTGTAGATTTATACATTAGCTTCAAAACAAATAACTACAAAGTCTCATAGCTAAATAAATGTGCAACATTGTATTTCATATGTTACATAAATTATTCATTTCATCTCTATACCTAGGAGGGATGTCTTTATAAAGTCATATTTTTATCTTAGCCATGAAATCCATTTGGTCTTTCATTCCTTATTCTAGCATTATTATATGCACAGTGTAGAAATAAGTATCATTGAATACAGGATGTGTGCATGATCCTAAAGGGAAGTATGGGCTTAAACCAGGAAATATTTCTTATTTACTCTAGAAGGGCTAGAACACAGATAGCAATCATTTTCAAATTGTGTGTGGTAACTAGGAAAAAATCTGTTTCACCATGATTTTTATACTAAAGTTTGGGGGAGAGTTTAGAAAATCATTTGCACTGGGTTGCTTCACAATTCTGATGTTTTACAGCAGCTACATAAATGCAAATTCACATAGAAGCCTGGATGTATCTTTATTAGCAGTCTTTCAAAGGTGGAAAGGGATTTTATCAGGAAGGCATCTGTGCAACAGCATGAAGCTTGTACATTTCCCCAAGTTGAAATTGATGGAAATGTATTGACATGCTTGGCTTCTTTCCTTTTTATTTCTTGTGCAAAAAAGCTTCTCTCTTCATCCCTTGATTTTTCTTCCCAAAGCTTTTATTCAGTTAACATTTTCTTTATGTAAAACTTATAACTTCCAAACTATAAATGTCACATAAGTAACTCATTCTATTAAGGTATCCCTACGAGCTTCACTCAGGCATTTAAATAAAATGTTTGAACAGCAGTTTAAGAATGACCAGCAAAATAACTTTTAGTGACTATGTAGTCAGCCCTTTGGGCAGATATCAGCTTGGACTCCATGACTTTACTAGTTTTCTTTGTTTTATTCTTATAATTAAAATATTTTAGTAACAATTTAACAAATTATCATGATTAAGAGTTCAGATATTTACATTGGGCAGTTACAGGTTTGAGTAGGACTCTTTATTTTGTAGCGTTGTAACCTGAGGTGAGGTCATATTCTGCTTCTAATTTTCAACTTATTCCCTTGTAAGTAAGTTAATAATGGTATCATGGGCCGGGGATTTAGCTCAGTGGTTCAGGCGGCTGCCTCACAAGCGCAAGGTCCTGAGTTCGATCCCCAGTACAAAAAAAAAAAAAAAAAAA